TGCTTTTTATGCATGTTTTGGGGCTTCCTTGTTATCCAGCCATTATTAACATTCTGTCATTTGCAATGCTTCCAGTACAGCTGGACCATTTCCAACAATTTTTATCCATCACGCACATTCGTCAAGTATGATGAGGCGTGCATTTCTGAGATTGGACGAAATAGCACCGATCCGTACCATGGAGTCCCTATATCATTGAGTTCTCCGGCGCTTCCGATTAAGAGCCTGGGTAGGAATTTGTTGGGAATGTGAACGGAGCTTGCAAAATGTAATTGGTTGTTCTGCAGTGCGATGGAAGGTTTTATCTGACTCTTGCAAAATTTGGGCTAGTCAAATTTAATGAAACAGTGAGTATCAAAAGTGCACATCGCTATGAAAAAAAGTCTTCGTCATAAATGCAGACAAGAGCTTCACAGAAAACGCTACTATAAACCCATTATGAAATTAGAAATAATAAATACTATTCTGTTTCCCTTAGAGAGCGGACAGATGAGAAGGGCAAAGGACGTATTCTATAGGTCAAGACAGATATAATTGCAAGTTTGTCGTATAAATTTTACAGCGCTTGTTATGCAATAGGGCCTATGGTAAGGAATATCTGTGACAAATAAAGTACATAATCCGCATGCAGTAGAAGGCTTATGTTCTTTCGAAGATAATTTCCTTCAAATGTAAAATATGAGGGAATCACATCATTAGAAAAAGTGAAGGCCGTTTTTTTAAATAAGGAACACTAGTGCTGGTTGCTTATATTAGAAAATGTCGACTACTCTATACATTTATCGCAGACTGCGCAATGATAATGCAAATGTTTTGCTCTTAGTATTATTTAGAGATAGTGTGGCGCACAAGGTTTTGGATTAGATTCTACCAGATGTAAAATATAGAGAAATAAGATCGTGCTGCCATGGCTATGATCGCATTATCGGTGATACTGTGCGAGAGCTATCCACCGAACCTTCGAAGCACAAGGCTATTATCGTTCACCAGCTAGTGGTAATCCCAAGAGCTTATTGCTTCGTAATGGTAAATACATCACTTCATCAAAGTGCCTTTTAGCTTCTAATTATTTTCATACAAATAAGATCACGGTAAATTTTATCTTCTTTTCCAAGTTTTAACGAAGGCGAGAAGACGAATTAATTCTGCATAGGAGTTGAACCTATTTTGTTACTGTTCCATCACAGCAAAAAGATGCTATGTCTCAACCAACGTTTACTAATGTCACCCTATTCGTAGCGGCAACTATTGGTTAGATAAATCCGACCAACCTTATCATATCCGTAGATTTTACATCTCTTATTTGTGATTTCTTGTATGTTCACATCAAACGAGACTTCATTGTTAAGGCCAAATGAGTAAATCCTAGAGCAAAAAAAATGCAGGGTTTTTTAAAGTAAGAATAGCTAGTCCTACCTGCAATCATTCTTGTTGACTGCCTGTGGATTACATACATACTTGCCGCCATCGAGTACTGAGCCAACTCTCACTAAGTTCGGACATTGCGCCTAAAACAACGACAGATTGATTAGATTAGCGTATCTATGAGTTAAACTGTACAGCTTTTGCGACCTCAGGTACAATGGCATTGTAAAGAATGCTGAAAGCTGAGTTCGATCCCATGGACTGCAACACTTTTACTCTCTCGATTGACTGTTTCGCGTAGTAATTTCGAATCCAAGCGCTTCTTATTTCTCAATACAATGCTATATTAGTACTTTGCAAATCTCTACATGCTTACCTTCTATCCAGGTCACGTTCTT